ATGTTTATTTTCAATTAAGGCTTAAACCTGCTTATGTTTGTAGAGCGGCGCATTAGAAAACTGTCAGGAGACACACGTGTTTGCACTAAATTAGAGAATCCCTTGCCATGTGTTTTTTTTTTTTTGTATTTCTTCCTCAAAATGTTGTCTAAGAAGGCAGAAGTTTGCTGCTAATTTGTAGCATCGTTACTCCAAATATAATGCAGTGGGAAACAATTTACTTACTTCTTCGATCTGGCATAAAAAAGCTGCGCCCTCGGCTACAAGAACTCGAAAGCATATGCAGCACATTTAAGCTGATAACAAAGACAAATCCAATGTCATAGCAGCCAAAGCAGAGGGAGAAAAAAATGCATTATCCTTTTTTGATATTTATAGCTAACATGGATGGCAGATTGTCGACCGACTGTCGTCGACCTGGCCAATACGGAGCAAGTAAATGTCGGCAATAAGCTGTAATTTTTTCAAATGGCTGACGGCATTTTCCTCTTTCTTGCTTGTGGTTGCTCAGATGTTGAAATTTTCTTCTCTCCTTTTTTTTCTGTGAAGTAATCTGGTAAAGCAATTGTGAGTGGATTGCATTAGGCTTAAAATTAAGTTTTATGCACAGCAACAAAAAGTTCAAAAGAGAGCATCTTTAACCATTCAAAAATAATAGGAATAAAAGAATCGACATAAAGAACAATTTTAAAACAGCAACTAAAAGCTTAAAGACACAAATTTAATAAAAGTTAATTTTAACATAAAACTTTGAATATAATACTACAACAAATATACTTACTTATACATTCCTTTTGGGATTTTAAATCCTACAAATCAAATGGGCCTACAACATTGGCCTTAACAGAACGGTTGACGTATATTGAATAGAATATACAAACTGAACGTAAAGTACAAATATACACCTGATTCTGGTTTTACACGGTCTTTTTTACACGGTTTTGATTTTACATGGTTTGAAAATTACAAATTGTATATATGGTTAAAAGGCTTTATTCCATTTAGCACGATTCAACATAACACAAAATAAATAAATAAAAACACACACAGCTGACAAACAGCTAGAAATTATTATATATATGATTTAAAATAAACATAAATCCTTGTTTTTTCACAGATTTACATTATCGAATTTTTGATAAATAACATTTAATTAAAAAATTTTTGGCCGCCCTCTGCGATTCTCATATTAAGTACCTAAACGAAGACAAATCAAGATTTAAATTGTGAAATTTCTGATAAATTAAATTAAATACAAATATTGTGGCGGCCCTTCTCTGCGATTCTCATTCCAAATACGTAAGTGAAGGCAAATCGAGAATTAAATTGCGAAATTTCTGAAAAATAAAATTAATATAAATAAAAAATGCGCTCATACAGACAGACGGCCGGACAGACGACTCGTCTTGTCATCAATAATATATATACTTTTTCGGGTCTGCTACGCCTCCTTCTGTGTGTTACATACATTCGCACTAAACTAGTATACCCTTTGACCCTTTGGGTACAGGGTATAATTAGAATACTTTATATATATACCTATATAAATACATTTATACAAACTATATATATGTATGGGAATCAAATGATACTAAACAGATAAATAAATAATAAAACTTGCAAAAATATAATAAAAATTCTAAAAATATTATCACTTCGATCACTCATCATAAATATAGAGTACAGTACTATATATCTATGTAATTAACTACATACATATAGAATATAATATCAAAACTCAATCCTCACACCAAAGTCAACTTAATCTGAGCTGCAATCATGAACCAAAACCCGCAGCTATTCATATCAATTTTTCAATTCACTTCGATCAAAAAAAAGAATAAAGAAATGGACGGGAAACCATTTTTCTATCTCTCGACAGAATTTTGCTATTGTTGTTGCACTTGCTTACAAGGATATTGGCGATGAGGACGAGGACGAGTACAACGACGTTGTCGACAATGATGATGAAGTGCCGGCAACGATGCGAGCTTGCCAAACCACATCTTTATATACATACTTATGTATATGTAGATATCTGTGGTATTGGGCTTGGATTGGGGTAGAGCACATATTTATGCACAGTTCAAAGATCAAAATGAATATTTTATTTGATTTGATTCCTGTTGGCTTGGCATACAAGGAAAGCATTTTTAAGCGCTAGAAAGCGCAATCCTTGGCATAATAAAGTCCTTGGAGACACTCACGTCGCTCCACGGCGAGGCAATCATCGAGTTTTGCATTTGGATTTTCATAAAGAAACTGAAATTTTGTGTGTGTGTGTGTGTGTGTGTGCGAACACTTTCTTGAGTAATTGAATATATTGATGTAAATCGGTGTATAATGCTTGATAAAGTGCTGCAAGTATAAATCGATTGGATACAAGCTAACATTTTAAATACTTTTCAATACTTATGCACTTTACTTTATTTCAAATCACCAGCATAAGTTAATTTAATATTACCGTTTCTTGAATTAAAATACTGAAGGTCGCATTGGTCCTGTCAACATTAATTTGTCTTCCTTTTCTAAATTAACACGATAGGTTTCTATACAAATTACTTTGTGACTACAATAAATAACCATAAGTTTAAGAGAAGTTTTTTTTTTATTGCCTGAGTCAGATTTAATAATATCTGTAATAAGATTAATAAGATCTGTAGCACAATCATATAGGAAGCAAGTAAAAATACTTAGATCACTACTTAGAAATTAAAAGAACAAAGCTTTACAAATATAGAAGCGTCAAGATTATGTTCCAGATTATCTGCAATGACATGGAAAAACTTTTTTTATTTCTTATTAGTTCTTATTTAATTATTCAGTTAAAAAATAAGCAAAAAGAACTATTTATTGATTCTTTTTAAAAATAGTTAAACATATTATGAACAAAATAATTGCCCATTCAGCGACTCTTCTTCTAACTGACTGCAAAAACAGAAACCCTTTGGATAACTAAACGAATAACACGTATTGCGACCTAACTGAACTAAAAATTGAACAGCTCACAAAACAATATTAGTGGACTACATTTTAATACCCAAATTAAGCTTTAAGAGATTGGTTTCATATTTGCAATAAAAATTGAAAAGAGGAACAACAAGTAGTTTAATTCAAGTTTTTAAACCTGTTTGTTTGCCGTAGCTCTTCAACAACAATGCACTTAGTTAATACATTTAAAACATTTATTTCCTTAAATCTCTTTGAAAAAAAAATCATTTCAACATAGATATTAATTAGATATTATTGTAATTTGATTAGATTTAGGCTTATTAGGCTTTTCTAGCTTTTTTTAATTTATATATATTTTCCTCCTGTGTCGACAGTCAATGTATGTTGACATAAATAAATAAATAAATAAATAAATAAAAAAGTAAACATTCGAGGTGTACAAACCAACTAACGTTTGCCTAAAGAATCATTAAACAATTGTTTTCATGGATTAAGTTTAATATTATTTTTATATTTAAGCAGTTAATCAGCCTAAGAAAATTTGTACTGCTTAATTGTAAACCAAAGCTTAAATTTATTTATTTTAGGGAATAATTTAAAGCATTTTTCTTATATAATATAGTAATAAACTCCTGAATTAAAAACGGTTCATTAAAATAATCGATATTTCTTTGATTTCATTTAGCATTTCAATTCTGTAAAGAAAAATTCATTATAATGTAATACACAAGCATTACAAAATGCGTTGAACAGACATAGAAAGCCCCTTTACCACTCGCATAGACCGAGGGCTACAAAAGGCGCAACAGCTTTAAGGGCGCAAACTTTTACGCCCCGGACAAGAAGGCAACGGGTTGTGAATTGTGGCAACGGGTTGTGAATTGTGGCCGCGGCTCGCTGCGTTTTCATTTCGAGCACTTTGCTGCAAATCCATCAAAGCGCTTCAAGGCCTACACCGAAAACGGGCGACGGCACAAGCTGCAACGTATTTTGCACGCCTCGCTGGAGTTCTGTAACTTGAATTGGCACAAAGGCAGACAGGAAGCCAGAGCCTGCCCCGACCGAGATGCCGGCGACGGAGGCGTTGGCGGAGGCGAAAGTTTTGGCCTGCAGCGTTGGCAAAAAAGTTTTGACGCCGCCACCGCCGCCGTCGCCTCTAAGGCTGGGACTGGGACTGGTGCTGGGACTGGGGCTGCATAACATTTTGCCTAAAACTGATTTGTGCGCTTAAATCGCAGCATAAATATGCCAAGGCGGCATAATTCCTAGGCACTGGAGTATCGTTATGGCTTTAAACTCTCCAGTCAGTGCGCTGAAAATATTTTGACTAGCATTTTATTTTCTCTTTTTTTAGTCATACTCGTAAGCGTATGAATGTTTTCTAGTTTGATGTTTCCATCGCTAAATGTGCCTAAATGAATTTTTCTTAGCTGGCGCAAAACTTATCCTGCACTGCACCTTTGAGGAAAGTTTGTCGTGCCTGCCTCTTGTATCCTTTGGTTTGTTGCCTAACTTTTATAATTATTTGATTTGTTGTTGCAGTCCCTCTTTCTTCACTTGATGTGTGCATGTTCCTTTCTTAGCCTGAAACTTCAACAAATTTGTAACTTTTTTATTGAAATGTTACATTTAAGGCAAACGAAGAAACACGAGTGCAGCAGGATATAATAGCTATTAAACGAGCTATCAATTGAAAAACTCCATAAATATGTACAATGTTTTAGATACGCCTTAATTTTCTTTTTTTAGTGGAAAATATCTCTTGGCTTACCAATTGCCACTATGAAGCAAGGCTAGCTGGAAGTCTTGTCAAATTTATTTTAATTAAAACTAGAATGTCACTAGAGAAATGAATACCTGCAACAGCAAATATATTTTAGTAGTTTTTTTAAATAAACGTTATAATTTGCAGAAACGATTTTCTTTTTACCATTATATCAAACATAAAACATAGATGAATTGATTTACCACCTTCCTCAACGATCTTAGGCCAGGTCCATAGAGGACTTTAGTTTACTCAAATCAACAGATGCGAGAGGTTCGCCAACTTACTCACTCGAGGGCCATTAGTGTATTTATTGTTTTGTGATTTCATGAAATCAAAAATATATTGTTATTAACGTAACAAATAAGCTAACTAAATGGGCTTTCTAGTGTTCACTTAGTCCATACGCATCTTCAGCGTACGCTCGACAAGCTTGTCCTTATCCATGACGTAGATTGTGGCACCAAAACCGCTCATGGCATCCCGATTACAGGCGCTTACAATGGCGTGAGCAGTGACATTAAACAATTCGTTTTGGTCCATATTCGGACTCCAAAGGCTTTCGCATATTCCGTACAGCTGTTCGAAACAAGTGCCGGATACGGCAAAGTCATCGCATTTGTTGCAACAACCGTAATGGTCCAAGCGGCAAACGTACGGCTCCGACGTAATGGGGTCCAGCCCGGCCACAATCGGCTCCACGTAGTACGGCCCAAAGCGATGCTCGTAGAGGAAGTTCGATAGAATAGCCGTAAATGGTTTGGGGGCTATGTCGCGACTCTCGCCCAATTCGTACATATTCTTGCGGAAAATCATGTGATCACGTACCGTTATTATATTCGCCTGTAAGCCGGTCATCCCTAGCAGCACCTGCGGATTCATTTGGAACACCTTCTTAAAGTCTGTCGAAATGGTTTCCGCCCGAATGCCAAAGCGATGATCTGTGGCTATAGATACGCAGTCCTTGCCGCACATGGCTAACACGCAACCGCCGTTCTGGCCCAAATGAGACATTTTTATAGTAGTTCGGAGCAGTTCGAACCTTTTGTTAATCACGTTTGATGATGGCCTTGCCACACTTTTTGCTTCAAATCAAAAGAATTTAGTTCGCTCAATGGTTTGGTTTTCCCACGATTTTAAGAAAACGTAAATTGAAGAGTAATTTGTTCATTAATTTTGTGCGATATAGGTCGATATAGGTTTGAAAAGCTACGAGTTACTGAAAGTAATTTCAAAGCAAGTCAGTCATGTTATTTTGTCTTTTTTTGTCTTTATTTTTTTGGGCAGATGAGGTCTCACAGATAGATGGGCAGGATAACGCCGGCTCAACTAAATATGTAGATTAGGCACCACCCTTTGGATGTGACATTATCTCAACTTTATTATCATTTTATTCTCTTCTCCTTAAGAAACAGCCAATTAACAGAGCACAGATGGTAGTTATTATGATTTATGTATAAACCCGCATGCATTGATGCCAATTTTGTAGTCGGTACATTTTTTTTCCTCATAAGAAACAAAACACCTTTAAAAATTTGATACCGAAACTCTTCAATACGTTTGCGCTAGTTAGTGGAAGTGTGTCGATCTCTATCCAAAACAAGTAAAAAAGCTAAAGTCGGGTGTCCCGACTTTGAAATACTCTGTACATATGTTTACAATAATTATAGAAAATAAAAAAAATTAAGAAAATAAAAAAAAAAATTTGATCGATTTTACATCTCTCGGTATTCGAACTCACGTAAAGAGTGTATAATTGCACATTTACATAGCAATTGCGTCTGTGTGAGTGTATGTATGCCTATGCGCATCAATTCGTGTCTGTGTAAGCATTTTCGCAGTCAACCAAACAGCAACATCAACAACAGCCGCGGGCAGCGCTAGAGCAGCGCTGCAGCAGCGCTGCATCAGCAAATATATTTATGGCTATAACTTCTTGGTAAATCGGTCTATCATAATGAAATTTGGCATACGGATACATAATAACTAACTGGGGGTATTTCCAAAATTTTAGTTCGAAATTCCAAGAATTACGGGAGTTACGATTTGCGGGGTAGAGGGGGGAGGGAGGGGAATTCCAAAATATACATTTTCTGCGTATTCACATAAGGCATCTGGGACTAAAATTTGGTGTTCCTAGGTCTTATAGTCTCCGAGATATAGGCGATTATACGAATGGAAAATCGGGAAAACCCCCATAGGGGGGAAGTGGGGGGGAAAATCAAAAAAATAAAACAAACTCGTATAGAATACACACATAACGCATCTTCGTGCAAAATTTGGTGTCTCTATCTCTTATAGTCTCTGAGATCCAGGTGTTCATACGGACGGACAGACGGACAGACAGACAGACAGGGCTAGATCGACTCGTCTCGTCATGCTGATCAAGAATATATATACTTTGTGGGGTCTGCCACGCCTCCTTCTGCCTGTTACATTTTTCAGCTCCCGCAAACCTAATATACTCTTGTACATTTCATGTACAGAGTATAAAAACTGCCCGCGGGCTTCCTCATTGCCATCCGAGAATATTTAATAACACTTATTATTACTTTTTAAGAATTATTTAAGAACAAGCTAGAAAAATATGGACATGCTTGTATTTTAAAAAATATTAAGCAACTAATTTTGCTTAAATAAACACTATTTTTGGATATGAAAGCTATTGTTAGGTGTTTACCAAATTAATTAAAAAAAAAAACTTTGTTGATGTTTGTTTGTGAATCTGAGGCTTACTTTAAACTTTTATCATATCTTGCTTCATTGTATTTTATTTTTATTTTATTTTATTTTTTATTTACACTGAAAAGTGTAAGTAACAACAAATCCAAGTCGACTTCCAATGCTTCTCTCTGTCTGCTTAAGTTTCTTCTCCAGCAGCTTTATAATGTGTGAGTCGAAAATGTAGCCCATAGATGACAAAATTGTTTAATTGTTTATAATGAAAGATTTTTTTACGGCCCATGTCCATAGAGGATTAAAGTTTTGTTGTAAACCACAGGACATGGTGGAGAAATATTTAACAAATTAGTTTGTTAAATGAGAAGATTACTTTATAAACATTATTTTAGCAAGATTGCCAAATTTGCTGATAGACGAAGCATAACGAGTGGTAAGGTGGTTAAAATCACAAAATAACGGAAATGCTTAATACCAAAAGAATAAGAATCAGACAGAAAGTAGAACGTCTATGAGTATTATAAAATAAAATACACAAATTATAATAAGTTAACATAATATATTATTAGTTTACAACGTTTAAAACAAAGTGTAATGTAATTTGACATAACTGTCTTTAAAGTTTAAAAATTAATAAATATTAAAAACAAAACTTGTGAATGTTAAAATGTGGAAATCATATCAAAACCTCAAGCGAAAGCATTTCAGGTAAAGAAACTAGCTTCTGTACTGTAGTTGGACAATTAGTGAAAGAAAAATACACCTGTGACCCAAACAAACAAGCATAACAAAGAAGCTTTGTGGCACACGACTCAGCTAAACTCAGCTAACTCTAATGGGAAAAAATATCAACTGGTTCTGTAGCTTATCAACAATTGAAACACACAAAAAAGAGTGTGTTCAGATGGAAATGTGTATGAAGAACAAACAGAGAAATGCTGCATTTAGATTCGTGTGGCAGGGCCAGAAAAGACAGCAGTTAGTTTTCATCTAAGCAACAGATAAGACGTTTAAATGTCACACACAGATAATAAAAAAATCCATGTGAATACATTTTATTAAAAATTATGTTGCCACGCAGTTTAATTTCAGTGATGTGCGCAGCTAACGATAACAAGTATTAGCAAGAAAAATTGTTACGCATTATTTAAAAAAAAACCATAAAAAAAAATCGCACAACCTTTGGAACGCGGCGATGGAAATTAATGGAACTATATTAAAAAGCTATGATAATCACTACAATTGGTTGCAAATGTTGAGTGCTAATGGCAGAGACACAGTTTTGATTTTATTCTTTACAGTTTATATATGCTATTTGATTTATATATTGTTTTAAATCTCAATAAATAGAGTGCTGTTCTTTTGAAAATAAATTTAAAGTAGCACAATACAAATGTGTATTTCTACCTTTAATGAGCTGGAAACAACATCAACACGAAATCTTTAAATTGCGATCTTTTCAAAAACATAAGCTACGTAAAATGTAAACAATTTAAGCACGTCCGTTAAATACACACAAATTAGCATCAAAGCACAAAAAGCATGATAAAAATCACCAGGGCCTTTAACCCTCAAATTTAAGAACAATATACGAGTAGTATGTAGAATTCCATGTGAAAACTAAGCGATGATAGTAAAACATAACTCTATAATAGCGCTATAAATAAAACAAAATAATTTATTCCCTCCTTTTGGACTCTCTAAAGGCTTAAACAAATGCAATTTTCCTTACAATAAGTCTATTAATTAAATGGGGTTTAATTCTTAAACTGAAGCGAAACAAATTCTAATAAAATTAATATTTCTACATTTTTATAACATTTATTAAAAGCGTTTAGATTGCAACCATAAAGTTCAGCTCTCTTCTCTTCTTCATAAATCTATTTATATCGAAACCATTCATAACAGCTGATCAAATATTTCAGCCGCGTGCTTAATCCAGAATATGTCCGTCTGTTTATTTGAATTTTTGTGTTTCCACATTAAAAATGTTGCATCAGTGTTTTCCAAAGTATGTATGAGGGTGTGAGGTCGAAGAAAACTTTTCCCCATACCAGTCGTCCATCCACCTCTGTTGAAATTAAGAGCACATTATCTCAATGATAAGTTAAGTCCTTTAACAAATAAGAAAAATATGATTTATAAAAACAAAATTAAATTTTGCAATCAGCTGATGAAACTTTTGCTTTTTAGTCTTTGCATTTAATTTAAATAATTTTTAATTCATTTAAAATATATTATCTTTATTCGACAGAGAAATTAGCGCGTGTAAAATTAACTAAAAATTAAACTTTTAATTTAAATTAAAAACCACTATTAAGAAATAACTTAAAAACTTTTCTATAAGCTTGTAGTAATGGGAGAGTTATTATAATAAATCAAGTATTTATTTTGTTGTTTAATCAGTATTTCTTTATATCTCTATTAAAATGAAATGAAAGTTCTTAAAGATTACAACTTTTTATCAACGATATAAAGAACTGTAAGTAAACAGTCACTTGTAGTCGGATTGGCTCAAAAAAGTTATCAGCTCCGTCAATTGTAGAAGCGTTGACATATCTTTGAGGTGCAGAACAACTCTAAACATGTTCGAAAGAGCTTTTCAATTGCAATTGAAATGAAATACTAGCATAGAATTACTTAAAAATCAGTGCAATTTATAATTTCAATTCGAAGGTGGATTTCGTATACGGTTAAAGCTAAAAATATATCAAAACTTTTAGTATTGCAGAACCTGCCTTTAAAATCGCTGCTCTTATTTATTACATGCGCCCGAAATTTATTTCGAATCTTGCTAATATTTTGTTTTTGTTGAATCCTTTTCGCGTCATACCAACCTTTTAACAATTGAACGAGGCATATGTTACCCATATGCAATGACCATACAAACATCATGACATATACTGACCTCCCACAGACCTGAAGTCGAGTTGCTGCTGTTGCTTTCGTCAACTGCAACATAATTTATGACGCTTTCATTAAAAGCGACAAGCGAGACAAACGCCCACACACAATCAGAGCTTGTAACAAATGTACGACCACCCACAATACACACATATACATACACACATACATACATACATACATACATACGTACTAGTACACATCCTGGCCAGAGCCTAGACAAACAGCACGACTCGCTTTATACATATGTGTGCTTAAATTTTATTTGTGTGTGTGAGGCGGGGAGCTGTGTGTTTGTGGAGGCAGCGACCCGAAAGACAACGACAACTTCAACTCGCTTACGTGCCCAGCCGGGACCCAGACAGTTGTCAGCTAGGAACGTCGACATTTTCACCCCAAAACGGTGTCAATTTTTTAATGTCAAACGGTTAACTGGCATGCCGTTGCATACGTCTAGGCGCTGTGACGCCCAAGTCTTGGTCGGCCGCATTGCCGTCGCGCTTTGACATAATTAAAGGCCATTAATCACGTGTGCTGATTCAGTGCAACATGCAAAAGCCCAAA